TGTTAGTGTCAAAATCTTTTTGCCAAAATTTGTGATTGTTGTGAAGCTAATAATTTTAATATTACGGTAAGAAACTCAGTTCATTCTTTGAAATTTTAGTATTTTTGGGCCAATCCAATCTAAAAATGTTGTAGTCGATATTAACACCATATTCCTCCTAATGAGAAGCTCTTTCTGAAGTCCCCACACCAAATAATTTATGGTTTCTTCTTTGTCCGTTTTCTCCAAAGTATCTTCGTGTTGATTAATTAATTGCAAAGAAAATATCAACCAGTGATACTAGATCGGCGTGCGTTTTCCTCTTGCGGTTAGGTGTACATTAGGAATATGCATGAGGTGAAGTAACGGCATTAATGTACCCAGAATTCAGCGATCCTGTCTGTATCTTACTCACTCACTCATGAAACTGAGCTCTTCTTCAAAATCTGCTAATTCGGCAGCTACTCAAGAACTTCCCAACGTTTTATGGAACCCGAAATTTCATTACCGTGTTCAAAAAGCCTTCCACTGGTCCCTACCCTGAGCCAGATCAATTCAATCCATACCATCCCATCCTATCTAAGATCCATTTTAATATTGTCCACCCACCTACGTCTTGGTCTCCCCAGTGGTCTCCTTCCTTCCGGCTTCCCCACCATTATCCTATATGCATTCCTGTTCTACCTCATTCGTGCTACACGCCCTGCCTTTCTCATCCTTCTTGACTTGATCATTCTAATTATATTTGGAGAAGAGTACAAGTTATGAAGCTCTTCATTGCCTGTATAATTAACCACATGTAAAATGTGGAAAGAAATTTCTAGAGTTTCAATGGTCAGTAAATACTTCAAAATTAAGAAGGCGCAATTTCATGCTCTTATGGATATGACGTAGTGTTAGGCGTGAATACGATCTAACGTAGCTCGGCCTAAGCCAAAATAACCTTATGAGACGCAACTCTGCTGGCATGAATAAGTGGCTGCGCAAAGCTAAGATTCGCAAACTAACCTAATTTAACCTAACTTATCCTAACATTGTCCAATCTCACTAAGTCCAGACGGTCCAGACTCAATAGCCAGATCGGTGCACAGCTGGATGTTCAGTGGTGCGCTGCTTTAACTTATTTGGTGTAACTGCGTCGCCCAACTTACGAGTTGGTGCGTTTATCGTGCTTATACTACTGATTATAAAATATTGTAAATCATGGCGTTCGGATGACCTTGAGTGGCTTGTAGATCGTACTGACTTTTGTGAAAACTGGACAAATGGTTCAGAATCTGAGTTTGCGGGAGCCATGCTAAACATTGCCTGCACACATTTAACTAACGAATACTTCGAGAGAATATTTGACACCTCGTCATAGGGTGTCTATCACAATGCTGTCACGAAAAGATTGGGATTTAAAAATGAAGAGGTTGGCATCAATGCACCCTCAAGGTAGTATTAACGGAAGCTAATTTCAAATAATTTCAACAAAATTATTTAATTCTGCTTATGCAGGCACTATGTGCACAGAAATATACTTTCACATTAAAGTTAAATAAAATCTTCATATATAATGTTGACTTCAGCGGACAGAGGATGTGGTCTTGTCAGCGCAACCGATCCCCACGGACGATAATTTCGGTTTTATAGACCGGAGCCGCTACTTTTCAAGTCAAGTAGCTCCTCAATTATCGTCACGAGGCTGAGTGAACCACGTTCCAAATCCACTATTTTTCAGAAAATCTGGTAGCGCCGGGAATAGAACCCGGACCTCTGGATCTGTAGCCAGGAACTCTGACCACTAGATCACAGAGGCGGTCCTAACTTCACCGACAAGCGGCAGTCGCTCGGTCGGTATAGTTCGCTTGCGGACTAAAGTCACGGAGTTTGTTTTGTTTCATGTACGTATTAAGATTCTCCCTTTTAGATTCACAGGACTGCACTGTTTCATTCCGTACGTTGGAAACGAGATGTACTACAGCTGTAAGAGATACGCAAGATATTCGGCGATTACCCACATAAAGTTATTGCTTTGTTCGAGATCATGATGAAAATATGTGAGGAAATGAAACAAGAAAGTATAAAGCGAAAACAAATACAGAGCAGGTGACCATACGCAACGTACATCGTATGTTCATGTCTAGCAGAATGTGAGCCGTGTCTGGAACGCTGTGTAGATGTGTCAAACAGTGCACACTTGCTAAATAACTCTAGCCCAGCTGCTATTATGCAGACAAGACTTTTCCGGGAAACCCTACGCGATTGCCGAGGAAAAGACGCAGTGACTTGCACGAGTAACGTGCGACGTAAGACTAGGAACACACAGAGCGACATCGGTCGTACGACTTCCGTACGGTTCATGTCGCATCAAGTAGTAGAATATGAAGTATAGTCTTAGCTTTTATGCGTGACGACATGCGACATCTACAGTACGACAGTCGGAGAGCAAAGAAATGTACTACATTTTTCCGTACAACCGATGTCGCTGTGTGTGTGTTCGAGCCCTAAGAGTGGAAGTTGATCTTTGCGAAATTATTAAAGAAACAGAATAATTTTAAAGATAAGGAATATTATATCATGATAATTTTAAATAAAGTTTATTCGCTAATAAATTTAAAAATTGGAGTACGTCGAATAACGTAATTATTAGAAATTTCTGAAATTATTCAGGAAGTGAAATAATTTGAAAAATTCAAAATACGGATGTACACGCAAATTTTGTGAACCCCGAGGAAGTGAACATAGAACGAAATATGAAATATGTCCAAACGTGAGAAATTCTGAAGAGCTGCTAAAAAATAAAACTTGCAAAATTGATGCAAATTTTAAAAATTCGGAAAATACAAAATTTATGGACTTTTACAATGTTTTCTCTTCTTCTAAAATGTTAATATATCGTACTCTATTCCCAATATATGTTATTGTTATAAAACAGAAGTCTCACATAACCTAAATCGAATCCCTTCGAGATATGGGATTTTAGTTTCATTTTCGGTTATTTAATTAAGTAAAGAAGCCGTCGGACAATAGTTACGACGAAGCAACCCATGAGTATCGTATTGTGTTGACAACTGCTCTCTGTTAAAAGACAAGTTCAGCATAATCGGTGAGCTTGTGAAGTTCTTCTTTGTACTTGAATGACCAGCAAAACTGATTAAATCAGTTCCCCCTCACTCCAACTACAGCGTATTACAACGTGAAACAAAAGCCACGCGGTTCGGTAGAGAGCTTCTGATCTTTCCCTAGTCTCAGATCAGTCCAACTTGAATTATTCGTAGCAGAGACCCAATTTAACAACATCAAATTGGCTCGCGGCACACTAATAAGATCTATACTGACTTCCCCAAAACAGCGGCCTTCTAAACACTAGCAGGACACAAAGAGTGGACTTCAGCGATGTCATGCTCGTTAATGTTAGTAATGCTAACCTAGCGGAACCAGCTAAAAGCCTTCTGTGTTAATTTCAGCCAAACAGACGTTAATTTATAACCTAATTACTATATTTAGAGTGCCCACCATGATACCGAATTTTCTCGTTCCTCTGCGGTTCCAGATTCTGAATGTTTCTTCGCTTAAACTTTGATAAACTGTCCCCTGAAGTAATATATGTCGAAAATATTGAGTTTAGTCAAAAAGGAGGTTAGTGTAAACACACTTCTGTTATTCACAGAATTACTGGGGTTTTGGACTTTTTCTATTGTCCGAAATTTTAGGTAATAGAGGACACGACGTTTCGGAAACTGTATCTGTTTCCTTCTTCAGGTGAGAAAGGAAGACACCTACTTAGTTGGACCCCTTTCTTCCTTGGTTCTTCCTTTCTCACCTGAAGACGGAAACAGATCCAGTTTCCGAAACGTCGTGTTCTTTATTACTTAAAATTCCGGGCGATGGAAAAAGTCCAAAACCCCAGTAATTCTGTGCGTCATCCACCATCGTCAGAACCCTTTAAAATCTACTTCTGTTATTACATACATGTTTCTTTCGTGAGAACAATTGTGGCTGATAATTTTCTCACTCCGTACAGTTCTCGAAGAACTTAAATAATAGTGTCACCTGTATAGGGGTCTGAGTTTGACTTATAAGATAGGTTTTGGATTGGGTGTTCGGATTTATTGACACCTTATACACGGTACTCGTGACTACATGTAATACAGATCTATCGCTGATTTGCACACTTTCCATTTCACCGTTCGACACGGATTAGGGTTTTCTGCCTTCACTAGTCGTATCCTGGCAACGGATCTGTAACTCTTTTCATAGCCTAAGATAGGTTTTGGATTGGGTGTTCGGATTTATTGACACCTTATACACGGTACTCGTGACTACATGTAATACAGATCTATCGCTGATTTGCACACTTTCCATTTCACCGTTCGACACGGATTAGGGTTTTCTGCCTTCACTAGTCGTATCCTGGCAACGGATCTGTAACAGTCTCACTGGCAACTTCAAATCACACCTGAAGTTCTCTTTTCATAGCCTAATTCCTGTCTTGCCACTATTCTGCAGCTGCCAATTTCGAAGACGGGACTCATTTCAGTTCCAAGCAGGCTGGCGTTCCAGAACTCGACTTTGCCGTTACGGAAGCGGGTTTACTTATTCGTTCTCTAGCAATGGACGTCCTATTCCTAAGTCCGTTGGCTCGCGAGGGAATTTTCTTTCATATCATGACAAAATTTACAGTAATTTATGACAGGGGTCTTATAAATACAAGATAATACAATAATTATTTCATCATGAACTCAGAAAATGTGAAAAAAGTAATATCTGAAATTATTTCTGATCCAAGCACAAAGAAAACAGGAACAATAAATCGGTTAGTACACCAATATTTTGCGGTTTAAGCGGAACAGATTCAATACAGAACTTCAACACAGAGTTTTGACAAATACTTCTGAGAAAACTGAATTTGTAATTCAAATCGGCTTAGCTAAGTATTACATGTAAAAAGTCACGTATTATCATCTTTTAAAAAAAAAAAACTGTGATGACTGAGCTAGTTAGGTTACGTATGGAATAATGGACCTTCTACTTACCCATAATGGTCATGTTGGAGTTTTGAGCCACAGTTTCAAAATTCGGCGCCTCTGTAGAAACCTCGCATTTATAATTTCCGCTTGTGTTGAACTGAAGATTGATCAAGGTCACCATATTCATGTCGGAATTCTGCAACTGAAATATGAGCAAAGGTACTTTGTTACTCATCCGCTGTCTTAGGTATATTTAATATATGCGACTAGTCAGGAATTGGGCCGGTCACAGTAGCCGAGGGGTCTAAGGCATGAGCTGTCTTCGCTCTTTCGGACGTTTGGATCGTGGTTTAGAATCCACCCAATGCATGGATGTTTGGTGTGTGTATGCGTTCATTCTCTGTTTAGGTAGAGACTTTGCGACTGGCTTATCACGCGTCCAAAAGCTCATACCGTCTACAAAAAATGATTACGGAGCTGAAGAGGAGGCCTGGGACCTGAAGGGGCTGGAAGAGCCACTGAAGAATAAGGAAAGTCAGGAACTGTTTCCGCTTCCATCTTCAGGTGAGTGGTTTTAAGAAAACTGACAGATACTTTTATTTTTTTTTGTCGGATATAATATCAAATTTAATCAAATACCATTCAGTCATATCTGTGAAGAAACATTATGTCAGAAAGACAGAAATTTAACAGAAGTCGGACGCGACCTCCGAGAGATTTACCTACTTCGAGCAGTTCCTCCATTTGTACTTCAGATGGCTGAAATTTTGGTTAAGCAATGTGTTTGGATCATCACGTAGATTGCAGAAGTTTAAGTTTACGTCTGCATCTATTTTCTATTAGTTTATTTCAAATTAGAACCTGTGTGCATCACTTAGTGGAGCATAGAAGTGTATGAAATGTAATTAAAAGTAAATAAAATTTACAATCAAAATATATTTTATTAGAATAACGTAAAGAAAAAATTTGCATGTTTACATTTCATTAGCTTGATTATATTTGTATTTTTTTCCTTGAAATGTGGTAGAAAAACTGTGGACTGAATATGTCGATGAGCAGGCAATAAAGGGCTTTGAAGATTGTATATAACACTCAGAACCGCCGGATATTTGGAAAAGTCAATCTTTCGGTATTCTAAAAGAACTAGTAGAACACAACGTTCCGAGAACTGGATCTGTTTCCGTCGTCATGTGAGGGGGAGAATCATACTCTGTTGGGTCCTTTGGAAACTGTTAATCTCAATCACTGAACAACCTATGTCAGATTAACTGCAGCTACATAAACATCCAAGACAAGGCTATGTGGAAGAGAGACGACAGGGAAATATACAATAAAAATTGCGATAAAGCATGCAGAGACCTGAACTACGAAAGGGATGTGAAAATTTTATGCAACAAATCAAGTCTGTGAAAATCGATGCATAGTATTAATTGGAGAGTGTGCTGAGGTTTAATACAGGACCTTCGCAGTAGAGCTTCCACCATATGCCAAGAACGAAAAACCGTGTGTAAAGAAATTAGTCAGCTGAGACGTGATCTCCAGCTCAACGGTTATCCCCAATATTACGCCGTGGTGACAGTGGGGCGTGTAGGTAGCCCTCCTTGTCACCACATATTATGCTGTAAGGGGTTAACACAATAATACTAGATTACCCTCAGCTAGGATTCTCCTGGTTCTGGGTCTTCTTCGTTGCATACAGCTGCCACCATATATTATATCTTAAGAGGGTTGATGAAAATACGAAGGGTCGGTAGCACGGTAGTCGAGCGTTCTCTGTTGGCTGGCCCCTTCATCACTGTCACCTCTTATTATTGGCGTAGAGCGGGCGTGTCGGGTCTGACCCGCTGAAGCTAACAGCAAGCACAGGAAATACAAGGTATCGGGCCATATAGCATTCTTAACTAATCCGATCAGGAAACTCAGTCTGGACATTTCACCCACCTGGACCCTCCTTATGAACAATGAGGATACCAACTCACAGAGATGATCAGTATTATTTGTTATTGGTAGTGGGGTGGGACTAAGTCCCTTATACTGCGGCCACTTCTGGCCTATTGTGCCAGCCCCAGATGATAGGTGAGGGTGATCGTGGAGCAATTGATGGAATGAAGTTTGGCAGGGGAAACCGAAGTACTCGGAGAAAACTTGCCCCAGCGCCACTTTGCCCACCACAAATCCCAGTTGACCAGAGCCGGGATCGAACCCGGGCCGTCGCGGTGGGAAGCCAGCGACTAACCGCTTGAGCTATGGCGCGGCCTCAAGATGATCGGTAGGATCTGACAGATTCTTCATGAGGTTCATGAGCTTTTCTAAGGTTTTAGTCCCCATTGTTCAGGTTTATTCCACAGATGGCGCTAGCGGTAGGCGCATTATGGTTTCAGACATTCTCCAGCTAATCCTATGCACTGGTTTTATAGACTTGATCTGTTGGCTAAGTTTGTTGCACATTTTCACTCCTTTTCTATCCTAGTTTCTAGTCTGTGTATGCTTTATCACAATTATTATTTATTGTACATTTATCTGCTATCTCCCTTGCACATAGCCTTGTCTCAAGTATATGTGCAGTTGTACTGACATGGGTTGTCCGGTGACTGAGGTTAGCTCTTTCTAAGGAGCCCAGAGTAGGAATCTCTCCCCCCCACCTGAGGACAGAAACGTATCCAGTTTCCCAAACATTGTGTTTAGAATGCCGGATGATGTATAAATTAAGAAAGCGGTAATTCTCAGGATTTCCATCTGATTTTTAAATTGATTATACGACAAAAACTAAGACTAATTATCACAGAAGTCATTGTCTGTGACGTCGTATAGCCATTTAAAATCAGTAATTAAGTAATTTATTATTTATTCATCTTCCGCATTTCCTTCGGTCTTGTGTAATGTAACAGTACTGCACAATTTTCTTCCACATTTCTTAGAACCTCACTTTGACGAATAATCATATATAATACATTCTTCTACTTTAAGGTCTTGCCTCGAGTAATACTGTCAGATATGTAGACGCTTTTTGACCTCTATCTAGTAAGAAATTTGCGATCGGTTCATTGACATATGCCCACCAATGAGTGAGAGTACTAGAGTTATCAGTACCACAGCTGTTCAAAATTCTTGCATCTCAGAACCTATACATCTCCTACCACATTACAGCTAAATACTTTTTTTTAATATTTGTTCTGCTTTTGCAACGAATCTAGACCAACTAATGGGGTCGGATTTAAGGGAGAGCGATGGGGGCCTCCATAAACACAACTATAATCCATGAGTATTAGTATGAGTATGAGGGGTGAGCCATAAAATTGGCCCTAGCACTGCGACCTTCAATGGATCTACTGTGCTTCCCATTTGGATTAACCTTTTATTAACCGCGCCACAGCTCAAGCGGTTAGTCGCTGGCATCCCACCGCGGCGGCCCCGGTTTTATCCCGGGTCTGGTCAAGTGGGATTTGTGGTGGACAAAGTCGCACTGGGGAAGGTTTTCTCCGAGTACTTTGGTTCCCCTGCCAATCTTCATTCCACAAACTGCTCCACAATCACGCTCACCTATCATCTGGGGCTGGTACAATAGACCAGATGTGACCGCAGTACAAGGGACTTAATCCCACCCCACTAGCATTAAAAAAATCCTTTAATAATCCTACACATCGAAATAAATGTAGGATTTTATTTATGGGGGCGTCATAATAGTCACTTGGTTCCATGAAGAATCGACCCAGGTGGCTATGCCTTAGGTAAGCTATAGCCTCACAAACACATAAGATGTGTGTGGCTGATTCATTTTCTTGTAGGCACCTTTCACAGGTTGGGTCCTCTGTCAGTCCCAGTTTGAAAGGTGCACTATTAGGTGGCAGTGTCCAGCAAGTAATCCTACAAACCATAATTCATAGGTTCTATTGAGACATCTCCTTCTTTTAAATAGAATGAAGTAGTTTTTATTTCTCGTTACTGTACGAAATAAGGAGAGAAAGCAAAGAGTTGCCATATTTATGGTTACTGACAGGGGGCTCCACGTTTTGATCGCCCCAGGAATATCCACAACGGTAAATCCGGCCTGCCTACTACGGTCAATTCTTATTTTATTGGTAACCATCTAACCCTGTATGTAAATTAATAGCGGTGTCTCTAACATATGAGAACTAAATTGACCCTGGGAATGAAACGGGTAGAGACTCTACCCGAATTGGACAACTATTTATATTTTTACTTGCTTACATTGTAACTTCTGTATCTAGTAAATTCTAGCCTGTTGGAGCTGGTAACTGACTCCATGCATCAGAGTCATTCTAGAGAAACTGACAGTTACTCAGCGAATCACGAAGTTTCTGCCCTTTATGCAATTCCAATTGTCATTACAGTTTTCTTACCTTCGACCTTAACTTCAGTCCTCAAGCTGATTTCCCATGCTAATGTTAGTGTTCTGAACATTAATAAATTAATTGTTTTTAATTCCTCATTTATAAGGTACTTTTCATCGTAAATATTATTCAAGTTTGTTTGTTATTATTATTATTATTATTATTATTATTAGTAGTAGTAGTAGTAGTAGTAGTAACAGTAGTAGTAGAAGTAGTAGTAGCAGCAGCAGCAGCAGAAGTAGTAGTAGTAGTAGCAGCAGCAGCAGCAGCAGTAGTACTGATAGTAGTATTAAAACTTTTGTGGGCTATAATTTTACATTAAGTATTGAATAAATTGTTATACGTTTTTGTTTTCTTTCCTGTCAATTTCTATCCTTATTAATTAAGAAGAAAATGCACTGACACACGCAACCATGTTTATTACGTTTACAAAGAGAACAATATGATATAAACATACAGGATATTATCATTACTAAGATAAAGCTCTTCAACTTCAAAATGAAAACATTCAGGCCAATGTATTTGATAAAAAAACGAATATTATTGCCAATATACGAAGAAGTGTTTGTGAGTGAGTGAGTGAGTGAATGCGAGAGAACACATAATTTTCCTCTGACGCAGAGATCACAAGCATCGGGACGGAGTTTGCATCTGGCTGCATGTTTCGTAACAAAGGGGGTCAATAAACTTCAGGTATTTCATTATCATATGAAAATGAGCAAGTTTCACTTTACTTTGAGACCTGGGACTTCAGTCTAGCCAGTATTGAAGTGCACATCAACTCCCGATATTAAATTTTCAGCGTTTCCCCGTTATTTCGTCGAAAACTTCCCATTCAAATTTTTATAAT